ATGTCAAAATCAATAGAACAAAAATAATTAACATTCTTTCACGTCTTTGACATTAACCTGGTGGCTAGACATACATGAGATGACACCAGGTTAGACAGTAGACAAGTTGTTGCATTTTGGGGAGTTAGTTTTCTGTATGTTAATTTAATCTGTGCTGTCAACTTGGAACAAAGAAGTTGAGCATCATTTTCCAATCCTTTATCTACTGAACTCTAAAAGGTCAAGGACTGCACCTGAGAGCTCTGAAAAAGATAAATAAGAAAAGGAAGACTATTTTCTGTAGGCTTAAGTTCCATTAAAAAATTTTCCACAAATGCTAAAGTTGAAAACCACCGCATAGGAGGAGAACAAAAAGGGACAGATTCTTTCAAACTGTCCAAGTAAACTGAAGATCTTGTGAAGAAACAAAAAATAGGAGAAAACCCAGGAAAATGCAGTCACTAAAAACAACAGCCGATACATTTTCTTCAAAATTTTGTGAGATAATATAAAACCATGTAAGTTCAAAAAACACTTTTGGATTTTTAAATTCATATGCTCAAGGGATATGGCACCAAACCGATGGGTGTGGCAAGATCAATAAGATACTATTCTCTGATTGATATACATTTCAGTAATAGTTAGGTATTTAGTAATTGTATCCCGTGGGTATTTATACCTGTAAGAGACAGATTATAAATATCCTATGACACATATACTCCACCCAGGCTGCTTCTTATCCTACAAAACACAGTAAGACTGTCAGTAGTACTTTCTATCATCTAAATGTCAACTGCCCTTCTGACCATTCCACCAGCATTCATGTTTTCTCTGCAGAAGAAACCTCGCAATGTGAAACAAACTTTTTCCATAAAATGAAGATCAAGAATGAAGAAATTAAAGACAAACTAAAAATGGTGAAAATTTCTCAGTGGCTGTAAAGCTCCTTTTCATAACATCATAATTCCTTATGACTTCTTTATGGATTCAGTATCGAGGCTGCTGGGCATGCACAGGTTTATTACTTAGAAGAGTAACTTGGTGGTGAAATGAATACCGTGATTAGGTGAAATTAGGTGAAACTGAACTAGAACTAGATGTATTTTGCTACAAGGACTCACAAGGGCAAACTCCTCAGCAGTGGTCCAGATAACATGAAATCCTGTAGCTGGGTACACGGATTCTGATATTGCTTCATGTTTATTTATTTTGGTTGTGACTATGTGGTCAAAATCAGGTGGGAGCAGCTATTTGAATGTGATTGCTGTTTTGCACATAATACTATATTCAAATATCCATGAGCATAATCATGACTTTAGTTTAACTGAATTAAATAAAGTTTTAAAATTTTTTATATGCACATGGTTCCTGGCTTACTATTAGGAGCCTGAATGAAATAAAATATTGTTGAAAATTCTGAACACACAGAAGTTAGAAAAATCAGAGGTGGTGCCCAGAGTGGGGGTGACACCCCCTGCCCCACAGGGGCAAGATAACTGGAGGAGAAAATCTAAGGTTGTGTCCAGTGAGCTGCCATGTTCAAAAACCCCTAGTGTGAAATTTCTTGGCAGAAAATGTACAAAAAAAAGCTTTGTGTCTCATCAGTTGAAATAAGGACAGGCTGAATTTCTAAGAAAGCTGTTTCATTTCAGCCATCCATTAAGCTTGTTACAGAAATGACTGGAGAAAACTGTGGTTTGGTATGCATACCAGAAACTGATTAATCAACTTTTCTGTAGGCTTTCTTCACTCTGTATGCGTGTCATCTAGAAAGATGGGAAAGTTCAGCTGGGTACAGCTTTCACTTCCCAAGCTGCAGAGGTAAACAAATGCAAATATTTCTTTTTTGTGTATCTTTCCTTACAGGGGAGTGTTATACTTGGTTATCAACTGCCATTTTGCAGGAAGCAAAGCATGCACTTGCAATACTAATCAGTAAGATGTTCCGAGAGCGAGTGGCTCCTTGCACTGAAGCAAATTATCTGTTGAAAAGCATGTAGCATCATCTCAAGGTGGTGAAAAATTACCTGACAGGGTTAACAATTTCCCATGTGTTTTCAGGATCTTAAATGCAAGTTCCCACTGAAACGGGATTGTGACGGTGATGATGTGAAAGTGGCTAATTCCTTTTTCATTCTACATGTCCGGAGCAACAATTCTGACAGAGGTAGGCAAAAAAGTGGTAAAAACAGAGCGGAGGGGTGTGAAAGGGGCATGCCAAAATACGCCCCGACTGAACTGTCAGCCTCTCCCCAGAGCATCTCCCCCGGCAAACCCAGAGAAACACCCGAGAGGCGCGGGCAGGCGGGAGCGGTGCCGGAGGCTGGGGCCGAGGCCGCGGGCGGGCGGGGGCCGGGCAGCGCTGCCGCTGCCGCGGGGCCGGGGCAGTTTCCCACCGCGGCGGGCCCGGCGCCCCGGCCCCGCGCAGGCCGCTGCCCGGCAGGGCGGGCGGGAGCGGGAGGCGGGGCGGAGGGGACGCTCGGGCGGGAGGCGGCGGCAGCCCCGCCAGCACAGGAAGTCGCCCCGCCGAGAGAGGAGGCAGGAGGCGGAGCGCTGCCGCTCGGCCCCAGGTACCGCGCCGCTTCCCGGGGTGGGCGACGGGCCGGGGCCGGGCGGCACCGCCAGGCCCTGCGGTCGTCACGGCAACCGCCCCTCCCGCCCCCGCCTCCGCTCGGGGCGGCGGGGGGCGCGCCGCGCTGCCCCGCCGCTCCTCCGGCGCCGCCATTGGCCTGCGGGCAGGCAGCGTCCGCACTGGCGGCTCGCTCGGCCGGCCCGCTGGCCGCCGCGGGCTTCCGCTGCCATTGGCCGGGAGAAAGCGCTCGCCTCCGCGATTGGCCGGGCCGCGCTGCCAATCGGGGCGGCGCCGCGGGCGCCCGGGTGCCGCCCTCGGAACGTGGGCTGAGGGGCCGGGAGGGGTCAGCGGCTGCGGTCGGCGCCGCCATGTTGGGTGTGGGCGGGAGAGGGCCCCGCTCTCTTTCCCCCGGCAGCGGGCGTGCTGCGCGGGGGGTGAGAGCGGGCGGCTCTCCTCAGGATTGGGGCTGCCACCGCCGTTGCTTGGCCTGCTTCCCTCGTGTCCGCAGGTGCTGCCGCCAGGCTGGGCCCCTCCCCAGGCTGCAGCTGCTGGTCGATTTGGAGCGAGACAAACCCCTTACCAGGCGTTCTTCTCGCTGAGGGCTGTGTTCGAGACCTGGCCCGGGGGCTGTCAGGTTGGCTGAGCTAACAGAGGCCTGCGATGCCTCAGTGTGAGGACACCCCACGGCTTTCCCTCATGAGCTCAACTCCTTGTGTGCTGCCTGCCCGCGCAGTGTGGTTGGGCTTGTGTGTGTGTCTGTGAAGCCCCGTCTCTGGGTTTTCCGGGTGTCTGGGAGCTGGACAAGCAGCTGCTCTATGTGCGTGCGTGTACCTGTGTAGGCTGACCCCCCACATGCAGTGAGACCAGGACGTGTTAGAGCTGCTGCATGTGTGATGTGTAACAGGGCTGTATGTGGTCTGCAGGCTGTGTGTATGCAGTAAATCTGATAAAACGGGCTTGTTGAGCTGGCTGTGTTTACCTTGCAGGCATGATGTGTTCCGGGTACATTGGACTCCTTTGTGTTTTCTGCAGAGTGCACTGGTCATGCTTAGCCTGGAAAATCCTGGACAGAAATATGAGAGCTGCAACATTCCTAAATGTGAAGTGTTGGCAGGGGTTTCTGCCAGCATATTCGTGTGGCTTTCAAACTGTTCTGCCTTACATTAGCCTACATAATTACAAGGACAGAGCGTAGTACCAGAAAGCCCCTTTAAAAGAGTTTATGGTATAACTGAGCTCTATGTACAGCACACACATTCATGCACCGTAATTCAATTACATGTCACATAGGGCTCAAGTTTTTTGCTTCTGGGGACCAGGCTCATCCCTAAAGAGCTAATCAGAATGGAAGGGTACCTGTTACTGAAGACACATTGACTTTTTTCCAGCCTTTGCTACTGATGTGTGACTTACATAGTGGAAAGCTGTAGAAAGTTATGTTTAAGGGATACACAAAAATCTCTAGGTATGGGGAAAATTGAACCATTTCTGAAGTAGTGCTATTTGGCATGTGTTCCTTGGCTGAATCACTTCACCTCTTGGTACAAAATGGGCTAGGGACAAATTTTGTTGTTTGGAAAATAGCTTGTCTGCTCACTAAGGAAAAATTCGGCAGATGCGTTTGTTGACACGATTATCTTTGATCATGAATTAGTACAATTTACCCTTCTAGGACTTGTTTTCTGTCTTCATGGAAGCCGTGAAGATGTAAGCCTACTTCAGGTCAGTACTGTAAGTGTGAGCATAGAGAAAACAAAGAAATAGTGTTGTCTTTGAAATAAATTAATCACACCAATAAAAACAGTTGATAGTTGATACATTGTTTTAGGGAAGGGTAATTGCTCTTTCCTGTTTTCTTGCTTCAATATGTAAAATCTTTTTTGTAATTTATAATCTATAATTTTAGAATTTATGGATAGTGTTCTAGCTGAACCTGTTTGAGCAGGGGTAGATGAGTCCAAGTAGATGACCTCAAGAGGTCCCTTCCAACATCAACAATCCTGTAATTCTGTGAATTTGGTTTATTAATTTAACCAAGCAGAGATTACAGCAGTGTTCTACAATTGACTTCTTAGTATGTCTAAAATAGTATATTGTATCTGCAAAAGCAATATAGAAAATACCTAGTTGTTTCAGCACAGATGTGGGAGCTCTTTAAATATCTAGGCTTTAAAAGATGATTTCAAAGCAGATGACTAAAACAGAGATTCCTATTAGCATTGGTAAAACGCCTCTTATAATTAACTTTAAATCTTGTATCGGTATACATACGAACACATATATGTGTTTCTGTTAAGTTCCATAAAAACAGGACTGTTCCTTCCATTTCAGATGCAAGCAGCTAAGTTCCTGAATTCAATTACTGCATCACATTGAATGAACAGGACTTTTCCATACATCTTTTCTTAAAAACAGACTTTAGCAAAAGGTAATATGCAACAAGATACATACTTTTCTTTGTAAAATCAAGAATAAAGGCAGTGCTTTTATTACTTCCCCCCCCCCCCCCCCCCCCCCGTAAACTTGAACTATACAGTGTAAGTTTATCTGCATTGGAAGATTCTGTATGTACTTCTGCCAGTTCCCTAGCTTCATACCTCTTACTGTTACACTCTGCAGCCCCTTCAGAAAAGGAAGACAGTTTGTGTGCCAGCTTTATAGCAGGTACGGGAAATTCCTCTAACTTATTATTGGTCACAAATGCAGAAGGAAGACTAGTTGTGTAAACTAATACATTAACCTGTGGTGCTGCTCAGTGTATATCAAGGATTTACTTCGTTCAGATACTTCAGCCATATCCTGCAGCCTGGTCTTAAAGTATGGCTGAAGCTCATTGTGCTTCGTGGCAGTAGCTCCAGGAAACATCCAGTTTTAGTAGACTAGAAAAGTGAAATAGAAAACAACACGAGGGGGGTTTTTTGCAGTGCAGTGAAGACATTTTCCTTGGATTTTTCTGTGAAATTGTTTTCTTGAGACTGTAAATTAGTTTTTATTTGTTACATAGTTTTACAAATCTTTTAAGAGAAGCCAAGTACCATCAAGATTAGGTACAGTTAATCGCAGTTGGAATTTTAGTGTTTCCATGAGATTTTTCTCATAATTACGAAGTTCTTGGTTTTGTTTTTCTTTGGGATATTTCCATATAAATCTAAATTTTTCATTAGGCAAGACAAACTGAATTACAGATTAGGATATGATACTTTGAAAAGTCCTTATATGTTGCTAAGGCAGGCTAATGCTACAAAATGGGGTTACATGTAAAAAAAGCCTAAACCAGTTTAATATCTTGGAGAGCTGAATCACTCTAAGTACTTATTCTCTATAAGTAAATTGTTATGTTTATGTGTTATTAGATACATAAAGAGAATGAAACATAGGTGGTTGTAAGATGTAGACAAAATAGCTGATGACTTCCATTTACAGTAGAAGTCTCCCGCAATCCTCTGACTCTCTTAGGATACTACTGTTGCAATAGTGTTACTCCTGGGAAACAGGACTCTGAAAGTATGTTTTCCAACAAAAACTCCGCTTTAAATTTTTCTGATCTTGTAGATTTTTTTTTCATTTGCTTGCAGTTTTACTGAGGAAAAAATGCAAAGAGATTTACACAATGCATACAAGCTGATCATTTTTTAAAATAAAATATGAAGTGCTTTTCAGTGAATGGCTATCCTCATTTCAAATGAAGTCTGCAATGATTAAATATTAAAATGATCGATGGTTTAAATTAATACTAAAACTTTTCTGGAGATTATTACAAAGATTAACATTTTTAATGTTTTAATACTTCCATAGTTTATCAATCACAGGCACAATGAAACTGTTTTTAGTTACCAAGCTGATGATCTCATATATCATTGCAGTATTATGCACAACATAAACATCATGGTGTTGTTGGTAAAGGAGATGAAGAAACACAATTTATGTTACAGCTCTTTAATAATCACTTTTACTTTTGAGGCATTTTTTGACAACCAGAATAAAAAGGTAAGATTTTTTTTTTTTTTTCCCTTTGGGAGGAAGATAAGAAGGAAAGATATGGTGTTTGCCATTTGGGAAGGAACACGGTTTCATGTAATGACAAACATAGATGGTCACTAGTAGTACAACAGAAGAAGAAACAGCACTTGGATGTGTTTTCCAAGTAGAACTTGCATTACTGTGGCTTTAATATCCCCAAATTATCGGCAACAGACTATGATTCCTGATGCATTTTTATTCACTAGAATTATGTTTGAAGGTCATGGGAAAATGTCTAGGCACCCAGTGCTTTTATACCACTAGCTGCACATAGATACCCCCGTAATTCAGTGGGTTGAGTAAACATTTACTCCAGGCATTCTTGACGTGGACAGTCCTAAACCCTTTGTTTCCCACTTCTGTGTTTTTTTAGTAGCAAGGCTAAAAATCAGCATTAAGTGATTTTCAAGTTCGATTTCGCCTCTCTAACCACATATTGCAGTGATACAGTGGAGCTTTATACAGTACAGTTTATTGTGTCTCAGGGCTTTTTGCAGTGTTAAATATGATATTTCATACATCAACAAAATATTGTTTATTCATGTGTTGGGATTGTTCTTGGCATCATCCTTCATCCAATATGTTTTACCATCAAAAACAAGAGAGAGATTGAAAAGCACGGCGTGATGAATTAGCTGATGTAAACCCAATAGCAGGTGTGAAAAAGGATGGAAGATAGTCAGGAGAGGAAGAGTGTAATAGAAATCCAGGAATAGATGTTGAACTGGTGAAGTGAATAAATGGGGAAAAACACTTCTGACAGCAGAAGCTTACAGTGGAGAAGTCACACCAGAAAGGGCAAGTACGAGAGAGGGAAAGAGCAAAGGTTAGCACTAGGTTAATATTGAGAATGGTATTGGGAAGTTAAAATCCAGAGAGCAAACTGAAGCACACCATTTGTATACAAGTTTTGTGTCAACCACTAATGCTGTTACTTCTTAAGTAAGACAACAAAATAAAAGATGAGGTTACATTGCCTGTAGTTTTCTTCAGCCAGAATACCAAGTTTTTCCTCATGTATTTCCACTGAAAATAAATAAATAATGGAACAAAATAACCTTTTGTGTTATGAACTGTTTTTTATATTGGGGAAACAGATTGGGTTGGAAATGTAGTAGATTTCAAAGTTTCAATTGTTTTCTCTCCGGCTGTGCTGTGTGGTGTAAATGAAGAAAAGGTTAAGTTTACCCGTGATAATTCCCTCTCACATTTACATTATCAATCAGCCTTTGTAGCTTTTTGTGCTTTTATCTATTGTGTTTTCATTGTAATCTTTACATATGAAGTTCTCAGTTCTACAAACTCTTATGCTCAAATTTATTCACGAATGGCTGTGACAGATGTGCTCTGGAAGTCTTAGATGCTGTGGTTTAAGATGCTGCCAGCTGGTTGCCTTCTCCCCACCCCTCACATTGCAGGCTGTATGGAAGAGCCAGCAATGCCTGCACCTCAGTTTGCTTCCCTCACCTTAGCTCACGTTTATTTTTGGGTGGCTTGTGCTGATGCATAGGCTGGGAATAGGATCCCAGGGGCAGAACGTACCCCCTCTTGTTGCCTTTTTTTTACAGGCTGCTCGCCCTTGGCAGAGGTGTGATTAAACACCTGGGGTCAGCAACATCTTAAAGCCTCTTTAGATACCCAAAGCTTTTTTATGAGACTCCCTGTCTGTTTCAAGTTGAACATGTTTTAAACTTCCTATTTTGAATTAGGTATGTTTTCAAATTGATAATGTACCACGTCAGCGTGGAGGACATTTCAGTATTTGGCTTTACCATATCATCATCTCTACTTAAACTCTCACCTCATGGTTTTGTCTATTCTTAAAGGTGATCGTGCCTAAAAGCTCATATTAAAAAGCATAGATCTTTCTTTCACGTAGTATGTAAGCCATAGAAATTGTCCAGTAGGCGGTTTTAGTGTTGCACTCATTGTGTGTGGAGCTGATTATGCTGCCTCCAATTAAGATAACATCACTTAACTTTACTGCTAGACAAGTTTTGTATTACTTACCTTCTTGCCAAAAGGAAAGTTAACCTGAAGCAGTGTATTACTTGTTTGTTTTTTTTTTTTTTTTGTGTCTTGGCTGTCAAATAAAGTATATTATTTGTATAGCTAACATTTAAATTTGATTAGGTCCTTGATTTACTATTACTCAACTAAAATTAATTTAAAAATTAGGACTGTGCAGTAATAATAAAATGGTTAAGGAGCTGGTGAGCTGCCAGCACTCAGAAGTAATGGCTGGAGGCCACTGTCATTGGATGAGACCTTGTGGGGACTTTCCCCAGCATTTTTCTTGGGTGTGATGCTTTTCCCTGTTTTAGTCAGTTGTCCGTGTGTAAACATAAAAGCAATAATGACAGGGGATGGTTCAGTGATTGCTGGATTAGTGAAGAAGGGATGAAATTTAAAGCATGGTCGAGATCATGGTAACATGAGTCTGTTAAAATGCACTTTGTCTGAAGATGTGTTGAAGAAGGAGGAATGCTGGATGTGTATGCAGAATGGAATATTTTTATCTTGTAAAGCTGTGACTGTAGGAAGACTTGGGGTTTGTGAGGGAGCTCCTGTAGCCAAAGGGGTTTCAAGTGCAGGGCAGTGTCAGGAAGGTCTGGTGCTGCCTGGTAGGGGTGGGAGGGAGGGAGGAGGGTGGTTTACATCCCTGTAATAAGACCAGTGCCAGGATGTTGCATCTAGTTCTGTTTCTATGAAAAACATGTCCTGAAAAATTTGAAAGCATCATGAAGGTCCTGGAAGACACAGATGTACTTCTGTTAATGGTACTACCTTTGGTAGGTGGGCTTGAGAGTGGGTTCAAGCTTACAGTGGTGTTTCTGACCACACGTCTACCTTAGCTATCTACCAGTACCTATCTACCCCACCTGGCTGCTGCAGAGGCCCTCCTACATACATGGTGTTAAGTGTCCTAGGCAAGGCTGTGCTGCATCTGTGTGAATTTCTCATTTCTTCCCACTACAGAAGGCGTGAAAAGCATACTTTTTTGTTGTTATATATATACATCATGGAAAACTTTCTATAATATGTTTTTTCAACTTTAGACTTCGGCTTGATTAAACATAAGTATGGTTTTAATGAAACCACAAAGAATTGCAGCAGCTAATAGTTTCTTGTGATATTTTTTGTTTTTTTGGTTTTGTTTTGGTTTTTTGTTTTTTTTTTTTTTTTTGATTCTGCAATCATAAAGTGATCAGAGCAAGGATGGATATTGCTTTCTTTGGAACTTTTTTACACATGCTATTTCATTTGTGAATCTTTCTGTAATTTGGGGCAAAAGGATTAACAAAGCATTCTTAGATTGCTGATTATTTTTTTCTTCTGAAAGATAGGATGATTTGAAAGCCTGGATTATTTTGGTATCTTTCTGGGTATACAAAGCAGCAGACCAACAGGCTACATAGGAAGAGGGTATGCTGGGAAAATGATTATTATAGAGCCAAAACCTATTTAAAAAAGCTTCAAACTTTTTTCATTTTAAGTACACCAGTGGGGTTAAATAATATTAGTAACTTCTGTTAGAGTAACAGATCGTAATAATTTAAAACAAAAGGTCCCAGCGCACTTGCTAATATCCTTTATGGCTTCAGTAAAATACATCTGAAATGATTTACAAAGCAAAGCTTCTG